GCTGTCCCCGTCACGCTGGGGGCACCACGGGTGTCCCTTCTGGTCGGCTCTCCCTGGGAAGTGACGTTCGGGGACAAGCAGCGATGCCGTCTCTTTAAGGTGACGTCTTCTCCAAAGCTGAGCCTGTGTGTGACTGTGGACAGATCTGTGCACAGACTCCCGGCTAGCTGTCAGGTTCTGTGCTCATTTGTGCATCGTGGGCATATCCCTCTTCTCTTCTGGGCACGTGCTCACTGGAACCCCCCACCTCAGCCCTAAATACTTTTTTATTTTATTTATTTTATTTTGTCTTAAAAATTTTATTGATTTTTTACAGAGAGGAAGGGAGAGGGATAGAGAGTTAGAAACATCGATGAGAGAAAAACATCGATCAGCTGCCTCCTACACACTCCCCACTGGGGATGTGCCCGCAACCCAGGCACATGCCCTTGGCCGGAATCGAACCTGGGACCCTTCAGTCCACAGGCCGACGCTCTATCCACTGAGCCAAACTGGTTAGGGCAATACTTTTTTATTTTTAATATATGTATTTTATTTCAGAGAGGAAGGGAGAGGGAGAAAGAGACAGAAACATCAATGACGAGAGAGGATCATGGATCGGCTGCCTCCTGCACGCCCCCGACTGGGGATGGAGCCCACAACCCCGGGCCTGTGCCCTGTCCAGGAATCGAACCCTGACCTCCTGGTTCCTCGGTCGATGCTCAGCCCCTGAGCCACGCCGGCCGGGCCATGAAGACTCACTCCAGGGAAAGGCCTTGACGTACTGTCCGATCGTGATGAGACTGTTTTATGAAGAGGCTGGAACGCTGAGCAGTCACATGTTGAAGTTGACCTTCAGATTTGAGTAATTCAGAGTCGGGGTCTGTCCCTTAAATGGCTCGGGAGGCTTATTGCCGTTTCCTTACTGTGGGGCGAGGCCAGGACCTTCCTGAAACAGCTCGATTTTCACATTCGCTGGAGAGGGACGTGTGTCCGTGATCCGTGACCTGTGACCTGTGACCCGTGACCCGTGATCCGTGATCCGTCAGGAGCCGGCTGTGGCCGCACTGCAGGTTACTTACTTCGGAGCGAAACCATGAGGCTCGGAGAGGCCACGCTGAGCCGGGGGCTGAGTGTCTGGAGATCCCTCCTGTACTGGGAGGTGGCAGCCGGCCACCCCTCTGGAGGCAGGTGCAGTCCTGGTCCGGGGGAGGGTGCGGGGGGGAAGAAAGTGCACCCTAACTGCCAGCCCGCCATGAGCCAGATGGGCAGCCGTGGGGACGCAGCGCGGGCAGCTCCGCCTCTGGGGGCAGACATCACACGTAACTACTTACTTGGGCTGCGCAGTAGCTTTCATCAACTTTCTTCTGCTCCGTGCAACGAGCTTAGTCCCACCGCGCCCGGCGGCTTGTCCACGGTCACACGGTGACAGAGCCAGGACCCCCTCCCCCTCCCCGGGGCGAGCTGGCTTCCTCCCCACACGCACCTGCTGTCATGCTCACCCACTTCCCGTGGCTGTTGTGGACTTAATGCGCGTTTAGCGGTGAAACGTGAGGCCCCTTTTGCCGCAGGAACTGCCGGCTGCTGTTCTTGTGCCTTCCTTCCCAG